AAAGCGTTCTCATTTACAGCCGCCAGCACCACGGGGATGACATATCTAACTGCAACGTATCCTTCATAGTACGAGGACCTCTTGCTCATTCTTTGTATGGAACAAACAGTCTGTCGGTGTCTGCTTTCGGATGTACCATCTAGTGCATGTTCAAGATCTTCGTTCCATCCAGTTCATGCCTTTCCATTTGCATCGACTCAACGAAGCGTCCTGTACACACAAGCAGTAGTAAAGACAAGGGCCAGAATGTTGTTCTTCCAACACAATTTGTTCTACCGGCTTAATAATATAATGACTGTAGCAAAAATCAGTTTTGTTCATATCGTGTATTATGTAATCGATCCGGTCTCTGAGCACTAGTGAAATGTACTACGGATACTCGTATTGCAGTGCAGTGTAGACCGTTTCGAAACTGTTGTGAGGAACTTTTCACCATCATAAAAAATTAAACTAACATTTTTAAAGCAATAGAGTAATCATGTTCAGTATAATTAAAATTTAAAAAACATCAGCGATTTTCAAGAAGATGCACTTACCGGGAGAAAACTGATATATGCAATCGCTGGAAAGTCGTTCCACCAGGTTCTCGTGGTCGATTCTGAAAAACAGCGCCTGGTCGTCGATGCACTTGTAGCCGCCGCGACTATGATATCTGAAACGGGCGGTGTTGGCTCCGGTGTAGTAGCCACTGGTTTTGAAATACAGTCGAAACACCTCAGATAACGTGAAGCTATTCAGCGGCAGGTTGCGAACAGAAACACCTAGTAAAAATTTTTTTTAAAAAAAACCCTTCTTCTAAACAAAAAACATGCATGATTAAAATTAATGCCGGTATTGCTGCAGACTGTTAAATGTCGATACCGTTGGTTAGAATAACAATGCCACTAATGTCACTCCTCGGATTCACACGGCGTAGTCCTACCCTGCCAATGCTCGTAGTAGCCTCTGGGATCGTTGGGACAGGCCATGACTCAATGGTATTTCAGCACCTGCAATGCACGGATGCAAAACCGCATCACTGTACTGGGTCGAATAAAAACCCATTCGGAACACTAGGGAGATGCCACGGTTTATGGGTTTACTAGCAAACTGCTAGTTTTCGATACCACCGATCAGAACAAAATTGTCACTCACCGGGTTCATGCGGAGTAGTCGAACAGTGTCCATGCTCCAATTAGATTACGGGACCGTTAGATCAGGCCATGACTCTATGGTATTTGGCACATGCAGTGCTAAAGCAGCATTTTAACGGATTCTAAAGTGAATGACAGGCCCCAATATGTAACAATATCTACAACGATAATTACATGTGAAGGTAGCGCACCGCTTTTGATGAGAGCAAAATTTGAAGTAGTAGGATGACAAGTCATTGCTGGTACGCAGAGCGCGGGTTGGTTGCGGACAGGAGAAGAACGCTAAGCAGTAACGTTTTACGATGGATGATCTACGATGAACCAACGAATGGTGCGCCAAATCAAAACTAGAGATTAGGGTACTCAATGACATATTTTCGAGTTAAGTCGGGGGTAAATCGCCCTTGATTCATGCTGTCGACCATCGTATTCAGTCAGAAGAATCCCGGAACAACATGAGAAACTTCATACGGTGCATCTGCTGTAAAAGACAGTAAAGACTGTGAAGTGCAACGCATAACGCTACCTGACAACCAAATGCAACATTCACGATCTGTCGGTCAGCCTAGAAACGGTTGCTAGCCCCATCTGGGTGTCGTCAGCTTATTCTGATCGTCCGCTGCATAAAGGCCTCTCCAAGACTTTGCTATAAACCCGTTTTCTGCGGCCCTTAGCCATTTTTACCCAGTTAACCATTTCAGCTTGCCTTGCCATCAGTCTGAGGTCTTTCTAGAGGCCGTCCTTTCGGGCCATATTCTCGAAGAAGCAATCACCTCAGTCCCAATAAAAGAAGAACTATAACTCTGTTATGAGACTAAAGATAGATTAATCAAGAGGTAATTCGTTCTTCTTCAGCATTTCAACTCCGTCACCTACTAGTTGACAAAAGGTTAGGTAATGGTTCTTGGTCCTGTCACACACACACACACACACACACACACACACACACACACACACACACACACACACACACACACACGAATCTGCATTTATTGAAACTGCAGCTTGTGCCATGGTGGCACAGTGCTTCAGAGGTGAGTTTAAAATATCAGAGGTGCCAGACTCGAGGTCGCTCAAGGAACAGTCATTGTCTGTCTTAACTGCCAGTTCCTTGCGGTAAGCAATTTACCCTACGGCACAACCAACTGAAAAGAGTAGTAAGTCGGCGACTTACGAATAATAGGGACAGCATGGTATGTGGGTAAGATTATACCAGAATAGACGAGTGGTTCGACCAAGCTGTCCCCTGAATCTGACCCCTGTAGCTGCACTTCGCCTAGAATCAACTGACGGCTGACAATCCAGTGAAATAATCAGCAAAAGATGTAATCCCAATTACTGACTTCTTGAGCAGTAGAAACTTTTCAGGGTGTTCACGACTTTTCGTAGGATGCACTGATAAGAGTAAGTACACCACCCACTGTACGCTAGCCAGACATGTCAGTTTAATCCTGATGTAGTACCAGCTAACAGAAACGACTAAACAACAACCGGCTGTTTAGTTGTGTTCATCACCTAGAACAGTTTGCAGAACGAATGAAGTTTCAGATAACAGCAATAGCAACTTTATATCCTTTGGATGACGCAAAACTTTTCAAAGACTAGATTTCATGACACATTGCACAGTTCCCTTGCTCCTAGCGAAGTAACTCTAACTCATGGAAAATGAAGCGAGGTGCATCTGGCTGTAGGTACTCAAATACAATGGAGTCATGACTTGTTTAAATGGTTTTTCTAGGCAATTAGGCGCAAGGGACAGTGCCATAAGGCGTAATTTCCGACTTGATCGAGTTATGTATACGAACATATTTTCACATAATTTGCTTTGATGCAACTGAAAATAAGGCTCGTTATACTTTACTACTGAGCTCAGACAAACGGACCTGTCGGCCAGCTAATTTCTTCAATCTGAACGACCAGTTAAAAATGTGCCTATAAATGTCGATGGCATCAAATGCATGTAGGCTACTGCGCTTTTAAATTCTGAAATAAAGTATATGCAAATGAATTTCAATCTATAAATTTTCAGTTAATAGTCATGTACAGATCTGCACGTACAAAAGTCGGCTTGCAGTAATGCAGTTATTTTCAAATCTCCAAGTTATAACCGAGTTCCGGTATGTATGTATAGCAAATAATCTGGAATTCTGAACTGGTGCATTACCTAGACCGATTATGTAAATGAAAAATCTATAAGT